GGGGGGGGGGGGAGGGAGAAACAGAGAAGATATAACTATCTTCCGTCATTTAACAAGCCGAAGCTGCGACGAATATCGATATTCGCAATTACTCGGCACAATATTATTGATTACCTATCAATTCAGGAAACGTGGGCAGTAATGAAATAAACTTACATGCCAGTTTGATATCTCCCACAGCGTAGGCCGAAGCGGCGCGTGGTTTATGCGTCACGAGTGCCAGCTCGCCTAAATAACCGCCAGCCGGAACACGATTAATCTGTAGGATATTAAAGGTCCCGAGTTAAGTAAGAAGAAAATTTTCTTGGCGCTCGTCGTCGACGTAATCAGATCGTTTCGCGGGAAACTGGATTAGCATATAATATAAATGTACCTCAATTTCACGGCCGTGTTCGCCGAGTCTAGTGATTCTAACTACGCCATCCTCGACGAAGTACATTCCATCTGCGGTGTCTCCCTGCCTAATTATCTGCTCGCCATTGGAAAACTGTTTCGGTACAAGGGCATCCGCTAAATTCATCCGCTCGTAAGGCTGGAAGAATTTAATACGATGCAAATCTCGTAGGAGTTGATATTTTAAAAATTATTTCTCGTTTTTATTTAAATATTTTTTTAATCAAAAAAGAGGAATAGCTCCTTTGATAAAGAAAATATGCAATAATTATATATTTAATCTCAAAATAAAAACTCGAGAATTATTTATGATATAAATTTAAAAAAATGTAACATATTTTTAAAGTCTTTAAAAGTAATTATATAAATAGTTTATATATGTATATAATATTTACCTCCAGAGACTTTAACATCGGTACTTTATTAATAAGATTTTCATACATTTTACGCTTTTTGTACGCGGATTTAAGAAGAATACGTCGGAAAGTTTGCCTATCCATGGCCCAAAGCGTGCCAGACGTAATAGCTTTGACAGTGGCTGCTCTAGGCATATTGTACAGAAGAGCCAATTCTCCAAAAGCACCACGATTATCGTAAGTGTGAATATGATTATCTGTTGCTGTGGCGGGATCTTTGACGTATACCTCGAATTTTCCTCTGAAACACGAAATGCAATAGATAGCGACAATCGAAAATGAAAGCTAAAAGATTTATAAGGCAGTTATGTATATTTCTGTTCGGACGATTTCAAATTCCGGTCAAATAAACAATCGAAAATAATAAGATTACTAAGCATATTGTTCGAATATTTTCAGCTCTGAATAAAAGCACTGATCGACTGTGTGCATCCCCTCTTGGTTCACTGGATCTTCCCGCTGAAGGGAGAAGCCTATCGATACGTTAACTGTAATATATAAAGAAAAAGTATTACCTCTCGATCACATAAAAGTTATCACCATCGTCGCCCTGCCGGATAATAAATTCTCCCGGTTGAACGCTTTTTTCGAACATTGCGTCCAGTACGTCCGCCATTTGTTCCTGCAAAAGTAATTTTATTATACACGTTTAAATACGTTTTAGCGCAATATTATCGTCCGCGGGATTTAAAATATCGGCTTTAATATTGTAGTACGTAAGCAGGGGGAGTAACGTTAATATCGCGGTGATAATCGATGTACGTGCTTCTATGTATATAAATACATTTATATACGTATATAAAGGTGTTTCATTATTACATATTTCCTCTTAACGTAATTGATTCTTGGCCAACATAAAATCAATTTTTACTAAGTGAAAATTTTTAGACACACACATCTTCTATTTTCGTTGACTCTCAATTTGCGACGTTGGATAAATTAATGTGTGTAATTGCATATCAAATTAAAATTATAAAATAAAGAGAAATAGAATATATACTTTAAAGAAAATATTAATTATATTAAAAAGTAATATCATATATTAAATATACAAATATTAAAAATAAATATATTGAAAAATTAAATAATTACAAAATTTAACAATATCTACTTGTCAAGTCAAGTGACGACCAGTAATTTATACTTAAATGCATCAACAAGTCGCTAATGAACAAAACAATTATCTCAATTATGCGAATCGTTTTGCTGGCAAAACCGATTGCTCTTAATGAGAGATTATTCGTGATTTTCTTGGTATTTCGCCCGACTGGCGCAGATATATCAAGTCGCTGTTATACCATTCCTATTTGTAATCATGGCTGTTGAACGCACTATGTTTAATTTACCTCGTCTAGAGCGCGAAACAGGAGTATGTTCTTAACGCTTTCACTAAGCCTTTGTCGCTGCTCGTCGCTCTTTGGATGGACCATCTGAAATCAATGAGCCATATGAAGACAAAGTTTAGGTAAAATATAGCTAGACAAAATTTTTTAATTTATTATTAAGGCGCCTGTTTAATTGAGACATCGTCACTTTGTCGTCTTTATGAGAAAATTTCTTCCCTTAATGAATAATTAGAGAATGATTTAATACAACCTGAACAAGTGAAAGCTGTGAAATATATATCGTTTCGTTCTTGATTTATTAAACGACAATCTCGTTTATATGCAAGAAGCGATATTATTATTTAATAAATGAACACACATGCTTTAAGTTATTCCATTTAATCACTATATCGATATATTTACTGTGTCCAATAATTTTTGCTGCTTGTTCTTGAATTTTTGACTTCTAGAAATTATACAATAAAGTTATCTGCAATTTAGTTCTCTGCAAAAGCTACAACCAGCAAATTCAATAGTTTGACTAGAACTTGAGATATTGCCCTTTATGTTGGATGGTGAACTTTGACCTCTTCTATGCTCCACTCGCTATTATTTTAAAGATAAAGTACATCGTTTGTCAGATTTTAAAGATTATCAAGCTATACAATTTTGCATAGAGTTCCTAGCAAATTTATTAATAATAAAAACGTCACAGGTCACGTAAAAGTTATGCAACGGAGCCTTGCTATTTTTTTATATAATAATAGCGTAAAGTTCAAGATATTTAACGTCTATATGGTACCTTTAATGTCTAGAAGCATTTACGCGAAGCGCGTATAACTACTATAACAGCTTTTTTCTACACAAGAAAACAGCCCTGGAGTTAAAAAGTTCCATTCTTCAAGAGAGCCCTCGCTGGAGCTGCTGTTAATGTTACGTTATTCGTTTAAACCTTAATTCTTCTACTCGTAAAAAGCCGCGCCTCTGCCATTAAAATTATTCGCCTTTGTAACTTCTCACTCTCGTCTGCACGTTGGTTAGCGACTTGCGTCGCGTTATTGCGGCCAGCAATACATACTCCTCGTTTGTAGCAAGTGCATACGCGGTAATCGGTCTCTCCACAAGAGCGGCTGGTTCTTTTGTTTCGTTATCGTCGCCAATTGTTATACACAGAAACGATCAATTTCGCAGGGAACCTCCTCGTTCCCATTACCGACGTGTCCCATCTGCTGCCGCAGCATTGTGCTACCGGGCCGTGTGTATCGTATGATTAAAACTTTATACCGAGGGTCAACCGTTTGTCGATGTTTGCCATTTGCAAAACTGTTATTTCATCGCACATTCGGCGCGTTATCCTTTCTATCGCTCATAGTATCCTGTTTCTCGAGCGCGCAATATACATTTTAACAATAGAGCTTTCGATGCCAGAATTTAAAATCGATTTTTCTATTTTCGCAACTTTCCAGTGTTTTCACACACTTTTTTTTTAACAGTCTGACGTTAACAATTCTATTTCTTAACTGAAGAATTTAACTGAGTGTGGACTTTTTTTTACTATTCGCAGTTCTAAAGTTTGATTCGCGTAAAGCCCTGCTTCTTTCTTGCTCACGCATGGATACAATATAAACGCATCTTCGCCAAGGAAAAATTGACTCCAAATTGACTGGAGAAATTCACCGTTAAAGAAGACCGAGCGAATCTGATGTACCCTTTATCGTAAAACGGTTAAGAATCTTCACACACATACGTCGAAGTTGTCTAGCCTTTCTAAAAATCGCGAGTGTCCCAGTTTTCTCTGCTATTGTTCTCTAGTTGTCGTAGTAGCATGTAGAGAGAAAATACGATCGGTCAGCCTGGCCTATAGGGGGAAGAGAGACAGCCGATTTTCCTCTTGGTATAACCAGCCACCACGGGGTGACGATAATCGGATTCACCAGGGCTATCTTTGTGAAAATATTCTCTCTCTTTCTCTCGTCGAACGCGACCCGTCGCCGGCGACCCCTCGCGCGAACCCCCTTACTACCCTACAAATACATACATACACACACCTCGCGCACGCTCCTTTCTCCCTCATTCACGTGCGCGTATGGACGGATACGTACACACGACGATGATGCATATACACATGTAAATCACGTCCGTGCCAGGTTATCGAACACGAGGCCTGACGTCACAAAGGTACATCGTCGACCTCGCATCGTTGAGCAAAGTAACTTCGTTCGCGTTTCGTCATTCGCGCGGCAGCAGGCCGCGAGAGAGAGAGAGGGAGAGAGAGAGATTGTGCGCCAGCTATGCTTTAATAGACTGTGATATATATTATGTACCTCGTGTATATATACACACACACACACACACATACACACACACACACACATACACGTGTGGCGTATAACGACATTTCGTAACGAGAGAGGAGAGAGAGAGAGGCTCTATTTTCTGCTACCACCGAAAAAAAAAAAATCTAAACCTCCGCGTCGAAGACGGGAACGTTCGTCTCATCGCCACTTCTCGTCGAAGCGAAATACCGGCGATAACGAATATACGTGCGAATGCATTATAGTATGCGAATGCGTTACATAAACCCGTTCTCTACTTGCGTGGTTACTTTGCGTCACGTCTTCGGGCCGACCGATTTTAGATTTCCGTAGCCACACTCTACGAAAATAAGTAATTAACGAAACGCGTAAGAGCACGTTTGCGATTCAGCATATCACGCCAAAAGTGAGACCGGCCAGAACGATTTCAATATTTTCATCTCCGCGAAAATGAATTGACTTTATTAAAAAGTCCAGCTCTATTCTCGTATATCGCATTTGAGTATGTTAGCGCGGAATTTCTTACGTCAACACGATTTTTCCTTCGGCCGAGCACGTATTTTTTGCGGTCTCGGCGATTACTTATACGCAGCTACAATTGACGCATCGGTTTTCGCCAATTCGACGGACGTGACGAGCGTAAAAAAATGCGTGCTGCCAAAGCCTTCGTTGCTGGAAAAGATATATCCGCTGTTGCAACATCTGATACGAAGTCTAAAAGCGACGGCAATATATGATGTGCATATCGAGAAGAGAAACGGCGTTTTAGGACGAACGAATCTGCGATCGAGCAACTGTCAAGTCAATAGATCATCATTACGCGGACTATTGGCGCGATTGTATGTATTAACAGAATTTATTATGGCGCATCGATACGTAATTTGTTCAATCAAGTGGGAGACTTTTTCAGATCTTTTTTTTTTTTTAAATTTGAACGCGATATGTTATCGGGAACGTGCGTAATAATTCGTGAAATAGTAACAATAACACACATATGATATACCTTGAAGCCGTCATCTTCCTCGTCATCCTCGGGATTGTAAGTTTCCGCGAAAACGCTCTTCCTTCTGGAAGCAAATCGGCCGACTGGTGGCTCTAAAATACAAAAGAGACATTTCGATTAAACACGATTGCTATTAAACTAAGGAAAGAAAAATATATGGAGAGCAAATCAAATTGATTAAATGTCGATCAATTAAATTTATAAAACAAGGTGTAACTGAAGGAGAGCGATGAATGACGCAGTTTACTCTGGTCCTCTATTAACGACAAAAGGCAAAATTGACAGTATCGTTGAATACGAATGATTTTTAGTTTGGTCGATTGCAGTGATTTCATTGCTAGAAATACACAATTATCGCGATAATAAAATGAAGGCCCGCGTTTTATTATAGATGACAATTTTATGCATGTTTACCGCGTCAAGTTTGACATTTACGTAATTGAACGATTGTATTTTCGAGAAAACAGTCTCCGAGAATTCGACGTAGATTACAAAAGCTGTCGCGTAAAAAATGATCTGTCGTTCAATTATGTAAATACGAGACACTGCGCGTGTTGGCTCGTTCAGTTTAGTTAACTATTGCGAAATCCGGTCTCCGGTAATAAACGAAGGAGGAACAGGCAGTAATTTTTGGAGTTTTGACATTAGCATTTTGAATAGTGTCACAGAGAGATATCGTATCCTTTTTTACAGCTTTACGCGACAGAAGTTTTTGCTGAAGTTTCATTTTCGATCGCTCTTCGCAATTTGTGATAGAGAATCGTTGAAACTTTTTTTTTCCATAATGACATACACTGTCAACGTCTTTCTCAAGTGTTGATCTTTCGTCTTGAGACATTTCGCGTTCGTCGAGTACGGATATTGAACGTGAAACCGTACACTATCCTCCTTCAAAAGACACAAATTCCCTTATACGGCAAAAAAATTATTACGTCGTTTCACCTCATCCCAATTACAAATATATATTTCCCGATGTCGTGTGCAACACGATTTTCCATAACTAATAATAACAAGATTCTACGTAAAGAAGATAAGTCGAAACTATAGAGAATAAATATATTTCCAATTCCAAGAAAATTAATCTTGAAAGTTCAAAGATTAATAATAACTTGCTCTTAAAACTTTTAAAAATTAACGGTATCTTTTTTCTTTCGTGACGTTAAGTAAAAATATCACGAGAAAATGTGGAAAAACAAATTTGTTAAAACAACTAAAAACTTCACCGATTTAGTAAATTTCCACTCGTAATATACGAATAGTCATAGTTTTCTATGTTAAAAAGCGCACGCAATAAAGTTAAATAGTTATGTATATAGTTGAATGTAATTATAGGTAATCATATTTGTTATAATAGCAACTTTTTACGAAAATCAATCCAATATATACATCAAAATTTGTAACGAAACATGCTAGCTATGATGACATATATTATGCCACTATAAAGAAAATATTAACAATTTTTATTGTTAAATTAGCCATTTTTATTGTAGCAAAAAAATATAGCTGAATTATCATACTGATAATTGCTTAGAAACATTTTTTTAAACCATCAAATCTTTTAGTTATAAATGTTGAACTCGCGCAGCAAACTACATAGCTTTGCTAAATCACTCAATCTCTTCTCATTTTTTTTTTGCGTGCAGTGCAATTTTACCCGATTAAATGGTATTGAAAAATGGTATTTTTTTGAGCGGATACAAGTTTATACATTTCTATTACTCCTTCCAAATGTAACAAAGTTTTCAATGCCGCAAAATCTATCATACACTAAAAATAATTACTAAATCTTAATACATTTTTTTTTTCAATATTACTAAACATTTACTTTCAATAAATATTTACTAAAAAAATAAAGAAAATAATTAAATCCAAATTAACTTGGCGATTCTTGCATCAAGTAAATATATGTTCACATTTAGTAAATATTTATTTAAAATAATTCAAACAGGTATTTTTTAAATTAGTTTAAATTTATTTTAGTATTTTTTTCAGTGTACGACTTTAAAATTCCGACTTATGTCTCGTCATCGGACAATAAAAATTCCGTGGTGTTTTGTTGTTTCGCACCTTTGTCATCCACTGGCTCGATGACGGAGATGAGCGACATTTGGTCCGCGGAGGAAAAAATTAAACACACGGCAGAAATGTGCACGAGGACGAGGAACACGTTCGTCTTTCTTGCCAGCACGTTCACGCTCACTTGTCACGAAACAAGAAATATATCGTAGGCGATATATTTCTCGTATCTACCAACTGATCCACAGACACGATTTTTTTTCACAATATTACACGAGGGGAAGGAATTTCGACGTGGTACGAAGTAAACGTGACGCGCGGTAAACAATTCCGGAACGTAGCATCGGTTTACAGAGTGATGCAGTCATAAATATTCAAGCGTTTCTCTTCTTTCCTACTCTGACGAACATTTTATCCAATCATGAGTAAAGTAAACAATCGAACGAATCAAAGGGATTGCTCCGTTTTTTTTTTTTTATTTCAGCTACGACTTCTGCTGGGAAAAGAGTTCCCTGATGCGCGAATACATTTACGAGATCCGTATCCGCGTTGATCCACGCTCGCGTTTTTTTCTTCGAAGATGAAAAGACGAAGTAAACGACGAGGAGCACAGCTGAAAAGGATCGCGTCCGGGATGTGCAGTCGCGTCGTACTGACGGGAATGATGGGCCGATATCGCGGTCGCCGGCTAAGCGCTTGTAAGCGCTGCACGAACAATTATTGAACTATGTATATCGAAACCACCGCGCACCCGAGAATCTCATCTCGCGACAGCGCCTGACCGGACTCAACTGGACCGTGTTGGTACAGCTGAGCGATTGGGTTCCTCAAATCGCGCGCAGGTTTCGAAAAGTACGAGCCAAGTTGATCCGAAGCGGTGTTTGGCGAAACTTCAGCGATATACTTCCGAGCAAATGACAGTGCTCCACTTTGCGCGCGTTTTCTTCTACAAAGATTCTTCGGACGCGCATCTCCGAGATCGAAGCGATACTCCCCTCTTCGTTCCACGCGACGATAATAACCAAGTCTAGGCCTTCGTTCTGGGGTGTTCTGGGGGTAGAATAAAAGGATGGTGCGGAGAAGTGCGGTAACCACGTGAGAGAATTTCCGAGAGGGGATCTCGATCGATTATCGTGACTTCAATCCAAGCGAGATTGAGAAACGTTTGGAGAGTAATGAAAGGTGTCGGAAGGTCGCGAAAGTTCAGAATGAGTCTGGAATAATTAATTAGTATGTGCTACTCAGGGTGAGTAAACCGGATCCCAACTAACGCTAAATATTCCTAAAATATCCGTAAAATATAACATTCCAAGAGTGTTTCAAGAATATTTCGAAATATTTTCCGAATGTAACAGCAACATTTAAAAAATCGTTAAATACATATATACATAATACATACATCGTTATATATTTAGAGAATATTCCATGTATGTTTCATTATATATATATAATTATGATTTTCCAGAAATTCCATGTCCAGAGGTCTCTGAATTAATTTTGAAACGAAACTGTACTGTCAAGAACACATTTCATTTACTCTGACCTTGGAGCCCAATTTAATTGCTCGCTTCAAAGTTGAAATACTACGCTCTATATTCTTTCCTATATGATTCCTATTTACGAGTTAATGTAACAGTAACATTCACATTCTATAAATTGTTCGGAATAAAATTTCACTCTCGAAGAGTACATGATAATTGCGTCAGTCAAACAGGAGTGACATTTTCACTCTTAGAGAGTGAATAATTACTCCAAGGGTCAATTTTTAATCTCTGTGGTGAATAATCTCTCCTACAGATAAATGTTGAGTTTTAATCCGCCTACATCCAATCTTGACGAAATTAAGCTCATTCGCGATGTCTTTGCACAAAACAAATTAATGTGGCAGAAAAAGTGTTGCTCTGCCTCGCAAAGCGAGATATTAATCATTAAAGTTGACCTTTTAGGAAATTTACTCCTAAAAAATTTAAAGCGCAAATATATAATAGCTAAATATTCCATTTATATAACGCTACATTATTCGGAAAATATATATATTCTGTAAAATTATATTTCTCTCAGAAATTCTATATTCGGAACTTCTTGAATTAAGTTTTAAATGAAAAATTGCACTGTCAAAAATTTTATTTGCTTTCACTTTAGGACCTAATTTTGGGGACTCACTAATGCAGAGAAATGCGTTCAGAAATTACATCCAAATAATTATGGTGTGCACTTTTGTTATGGTATAACGTAAATTACAGCGACGCGTAAACTACAGCCTAGAGTTATCTGAGAGTAATTTCTGAACGTACCCCTGCGCTTTTTATACTCTTTCCTATGTGATTTTTTATTTACGAGTTAATGCATCTTCGATACGACCCTCTGTTGGCGAGAATGCGTACTGCTCGTACAAGAAGTATTCATATAATATTCCGAACTTTTTATTTATATTTGAACATTCTGTGAAAATTCTTTTACTGTTTTAGAATACTCTCGGTACATCGGGAATACAAATCGAACTTTTCATGAATGATGAGCGTCAGCTGATCACAATGAATTGCAAGGGTGATCCAAATCTTCGCGACTAAATCATTCATCCATAAAAAAGCCGAGAGCTTATTACGATTCTTGGAAAGTAATAATTTTGTATCTTGAAACGAGAAGAAAATTACGAAAACGAGCAAATTTACTAGATGTTGTCTAATAAAGTTATAAATATTCGAATAAATTCGATAATATAATTTTTGTAAGTTTCACCAAGTTGTGTAGTGATACAAAATCAAATCATTTGAAACGAAGTGAAAATTCACTACATAGGTGTTGCCTAATAAAGTTGTAAATATTCTAGTAAGTTCGCGCACTTTTGAATTTTTACCTCTCGCTTCAAGAGCCGTAAAAAAGCTCTTTATATGTGGCAATAAGAAAGACAATTTGTACATAAATAGTATATAATTAGGAAAGAGAATAAAAACACATTCAACAGAAAAAGCAGCTTTGCAACTATTGTAAAATTCTTTAATATAATTAGTTTATACATTTTCATCTAATGAGTGAGATCGAGACCAATTATATTAAAAAATTTTACAACAGTTGCAAAGCCGCTCTTTTTTGTTGAACGCACCCATTGATAAGGATATACATTCATAAAAAAAGAAAAAAAAATATTAGAACATCTATTTTCGTTCTCCCGTAGTGAAGTTGTTCGCCGAGACGTAATAGTTGGGGATGGAGTTTAATAATCCGTGCAATTTTATAAAAAGGATATACTTCGTGTAACTCAGGCAGGAATCAAGAATACTTTCTTTTCACTTGCTCGACAATGAGAGAGATCCAATAATATCCTAAAAGCATTTATCTTTCTATCGCGAGTCTCTTCGAGAAATTTAAGAAACTTCTTCCTTGATTGGGTAAGAAAGGAAAGGGAAAGAAAATTGAATCAATCTGGGGAAAAAGGGAGAAGGAAGAGCAGAATATTGTTTTTCGTGAAAGAACGGATATCAGTATTGTAGAAGGGGGAAAAAAGGAGAAAAGAAAGAGAGATGTCTAAACTACAACAAATTCGATACCGACTAAAAATTGCATCCGAACAGAAGCGTTTCGATATCACATAATGCATTTATCAGTGGAACATCCCGGCGTTTGTTCAGACATACATTTCGCACTGCGATTACGTGCGCAGCTTGTTTGGAAACCGATTCCACCAATATCGTTCAGCACTAATCCCACATAATTGTCCATATTACATGACCAACGTTACAATCCCGAGAGGAAAGGGAGAATTGGTTCAACTAACTCCGGTATTAATCAGCATATCAGTGGTCGAATCTAGATACCCGTTCAGTAGATAATCACCTATGGTATTGTTAAATATACCGATCAATGGTTGCGTTCAGTAGAAAAAGTTTTACGACTGTTGTAAGAATTTTTAATATAATTGATTCTTACTTTAAATTTCTCTTAATTCTCCATTGAATCTAAATGTATAAAAATAAATCAATCGTATTAAAAAATCTTACAACAGTTCATGTTTCAAAAACTGTTTCTTTCTGCTGAACGCAGTCATTGAGAAAGAAGAGAGACAGAGAATTCGGCGTGGGATGAACGGAATAAATAACCGATTGCTCAATATTATTAAATTATTATCTATGTCTATTACTGATAAATTACTGACTTTATATTTGCTGCATTATACCCGGAATCACGATATTTTTTCCCTCCGCCCACCTTGCCGCCTTTCATCCACCCCCAGAAGAAAAGTGAGAATCGAAACAACGACGACGAGTCAATTGACGTTAGTACAATCGACCCTGCACGCTTAACTTACAACTGATATCGATTCGAGCAGCATATGACCAGCTCAAGCTTGACTCTACCAACATTATGATTGACACTAATCACAATCAGTTAACCGAGCTATTTGTCACTTTATACCTGTACAAACAATGCCTGATTTTTTTCTCATAAATTAAAGAGAGAGAGAGAGAGATGTAGAGAGAATTGTTTAATTTCTCGAATTCAAGATGACAGGAAAATCTTTATATTATCAGATAGGATTTTTAAAAAGTGCTTTGCTGATTACTCAATTTATTAATTTAAATTAAGAAAAAATAGCGGGACGCTGTGTTGTTTGTGAAATAGAAAAATTTTGAGAAATCAAAAATTCACTGTAACATGCAAGACGGTCTTTTCATTTTAGATTTTTTAGAAGATACATTTGGTATCGATTTTTCTCGCACAGAGAACTATGAAGATGAAAAGTCTTCCACTTGAAAAATTTAACAAGGCCACAGTTTTGCAAAATTCGTTTCGGTCATAAAGCTGCAGAATGGACCATTATGGATTTATCCATCTTGTTTTGAGACCTTTCGGCTCCTGTGGACAAGCATTATTGACAGAATCGCCCCTGATCATGAGATAACGTGAACTGAGATGGAGAAAAGAAAGAGACAGAGGAAAGAGAGACTCCTCTCCCGAGACTCTCACCTTCATCGACAGACTCATCCGGCGTGGACGAGCAGGTCTGACCGTCCGTATGGATAAGCTGCGTACGCCGTGCGTCACGTAGCCGCGTGAAGAAGTCCACGGCGTAGTCGATGATATCGCCAGGCTGTTCCAGCAGATAGCTGATTGTGAACTCCAGCAGGACGTCGCGCAGGTCGTCCGGCACCGTGATCTTGCCGGCGTTACGTTGGCAGCTCATCTTCCTATTCCCCCAAAGACGATCGCCGATCTAGCTACCACGAGGTGGTCCACCTCTCGCGTCTCTCTTCCTTTCACGCGTTTTATATCCCGCTTCCGAATTCCGGAATCTCGACGGAAGCCTCCCGAGTTTCTGCACTTCTTCACGCGGCACAGCCGAATTGTCACGCGCTACAGCGAGCCTGCACGTCACGGATTCTCGCGGAGTCTCGCGCGGGCCGAAGCGAGCAGCGATCGGAGGACCGGGGACAGAAGTTAGAGCCGGAGCTAGAGAGCAGGAGCTAGAGCCGGAGCTGTAGCTGGGCTTTAAAGCTGGGGGTCGGGGACAGGAGAGGAACGAGGAACGCTCGACGCGTCGTATCGCCGCCCACCTTCGACGCGCTGCTGCTTCGCCGCCGCCGCCGCTTCCGCCACCACCTTCACTGCTGCCGCCACCGCCGCCGCCGATGGTTCCGTTCTCCCGTCGCCGTCGCACCGCGCCGCCGGCCGTTTCGTGCACCGGCAAATCGTCGCCGTTGCCACTACCGTTGGCAAGCTCCGTTCGCTTTCCCGGTGCACCGCGCTGACTATCGACGACGGGGGACTAGCTGCCTACCGTGACGACACTGCGCACAGTGTCGCGCCGAACATATGACGAGAACCTCGACTAGTCCCCCCCGAGGACACGAAGAATGAACCGATCGCGGTCGCTAAGATGGCGACTGATAGCACCCGCACCCGTACCTCATCGCGCCGCAGATTGCACGACGGGATGTGCGGGTACTCACGCCAAGTTCAGGTCGAGTCGGATTTCGATTATTCTCGTCGAGTTCGATTCGAGATGAAACGAACGAACGCGCGCTTTATATTGCGAAGTTGGGCGCATGTTGTCTTTTTTTTGTCGCAATTGATAGTAATCACCGTAACTGTAGAAATTAAAACTATACTTTAATTAATTAATTTAATGTATCGTACATACAATCATTTATTTTTTTATTTCATATTCAATATTTGATCGTACGATTAGATATAAAAAATATGATTAAACAATTTGCATTTTAATTTATAAATTTAATATATACCGTGTAATAAAATACATGGAAATTTCTGGCAAATTAGAATAGAAAGTCTGGATACATACAAGAAAAGAGAATGGGAAGTTGTTATGAAGCAAATGTTTATTTTTCAGCCACTTGACCGCTTGGAAAAAAAGATTACGACTGATAAACATCCGTTGAAGTGCGTGTTACATCAATCTTATTTCTTATAACCACAGCTGCGTCTACGGCCTCTCGCCCGTTCGAACTTTCGACCCTTAGACCTCACGTAAGGCTTCGTATGAGAATGTGGTACGCCAGGTGCCAGACCGAAGTGTTTAACGCTCTCGCGAGCGTTACGCGGTCCCTGCATCAAGACTGTGTGTTTTCCAGTCGGGGCGCGTAATGCTAGCTGATCGAACGTGATGATCTCACCTCCATTTTTCAGGATGCGTGCACGAGCCTTCTCAGTCACGCGTAAAGCGCATACCTGCAAAAATCAATTGTCATATAATACAAATTTAACGATTGTACACTGATATTCATAATTAATTCTTATTTCAAGAATGCTTTAAGTAATATCATAGGCTGCGTTCCATTTAACATTCACAACGCTCATGGAATCATTTCATCCATTGTTTATCAAACATTAAACAAGGACAAACAATGCTCGTGAATGATGTGAGCGTTAAGTGGAACGCAGCCATAGTCTTAACATTTCATTCATGTCGGTCAACAAAGCTTTTCAAGCCTGTTGATTGGCTACAGGACAAAGAGATTTTCAGATCTCTCTGTCCTGCGACCAATTAACACGCTTGAATTTTCATCAGTCTTAAAATGTTAATATTGTTTTATGACCGATATGTATAGTCAGTTCTTATTTTTAAAAGAGATTATTTTAAATACAATCCTAAGATGTCATAAACCAATTATAGAGCCGTATCAGGCTAGTATTATAGTATATTTATCATAAAACACATTTTTCAAGCTGTTGATTAGCTAGAATAGATCTAAGAATTTCTCTATTCTGCAGTCAATTAAAGTCCTAAGTACAAAGATTGCCTTAACTAAAACTTAGAACATGAATCGTAGTCGTAAATCAATGCATATTTTAGCATAATTATATACATATACCATATTGATATATCTATAATTATATAAAAATATTGTGCTGACCAAGATTCATATTCCATTTTTATATTCAGATCCTAACATACTTAAAAATTTGACACATAAAATATCAGCCTGACTAATATTACTACAGATAGCCTTAAATAAAAACGGACTATAAATATTGCCTTAGATATCAATATGCTTGTAGTGTCATTTACCGTCAACTTGGGGACTTCAAAAATCCTAGCATCATCAGTGACTGTACCAACAATGACAGCAACACAATTTTCCCTGCCAGGTTTCTTCATAAATCTCACGATTCGTGCCAATGAAATTGGTGGTCGATGAATTTTACTCATGAATAATCGTTTCAAAATAATTTTGTTGAATTTTGAATTTGTTCGTCTCGCCAAGAACCGATACAGCTACAACAAAGCATCTGTTAATTATCTATGAAACTTATTAATTATCTAATAAACTTTAGATAATTATAGAGGTTTTCAATAATAATCCATTATTAATAAATCAGAAGTCAAAAGCTACAAATTGACCAATCACAGTCAAATGTGAAAAGAATCGACTATAATTGGTTATTTTCTAGTTTCTGATTTATTACTATAGCTTATTGTGAAAAGTCTGTTGTAATTTTCAAACCTGTAGCTTCCTTTAGGAACTTCATAGAAATATAAAATTTATTAAAAATTTATATAAATTAATTTCATAAAATATGTACAAAATAAGTATGTTACCAAACTTCTATAAAATTTTGTTCCCAAAAGAAGTTCTTTGCAATTAAAAAGATTTGAAAACTATAATTACAAAATTTGTTTAATACATGTATCAACTATAATAATCGCTCTTTTATGTTGCAAAATAAGCGAGATAGGATAGTTGACGAATATTTCTCTAGCGAACTTTCAAATTGAATCAGGTCTACAAAAGATCTGACACAGAGTGCAGTTCGCAATAAAAACTGATTGATAAATCACTAATCACGATTACTAATGAATTTAGTCATTTATACTACACTAAGTTGATACATTAAAATCTGTTTTATAAAGTGTCTAAATACAATATAATCAACTTTGACAAATTTGAAATAATACATTCTAGATAATGTGATACTATTATTAAGTAACCGTATAAAATAATTATATACTTTTTTTACATTCAGCTTTGTTGATTTTATATAGCAAAACTTTTAGTACTCACTAATCTTATTATCAATAAAAGTAACCAAATTTATTATAAATCTTTTTCAATTCATTCGATTGAAGAGACTAAATTGAAGAAAGCTATACGATAAAACACGAAGCTTGTACGTCACGTTAGAAAACTAACCTCAATGAGAAACCATCATGACACAAACGTGCATTATTTCTTACAAAATTCCAATAAAATGGAATAAAATGTTTCTGAGTAAAATTTAGAGGTATAGACTTTACGTCACAGGTACATACTCGCTAAATAATACGAAAGGCAAGGCATTTACCTTGACGAGGAGACGTAAATACACATCTTGCGACTTGGGCTCTGTTCGTCGCACTTTCCGATCATGTTTATGATTAATATCGATACCCTGCGAAAAGAAATACTCGTCATTAATTGAATCTCTACAATTTAATATCCTGTAGTCACGTTCGTTTATCGCGATTAATAAGTAGCGGCATAAAAACGCTCGATATTTCAATCGAATCGGATACAATCACACCGACTTACCATTTTGGAATCCCGGAAAAGAAACTATACGCGAAAGAATCGTGCGGTCAAAGACAGCGGAAACGGCAGAGGGCGTAGTTGGTGGTGATTCGGTAATAACGAGAGCATTGTTATCGACAGTAGTTCCATCGATGCGCTGTAACGTAGATGTCGCCTTCAACGGACTCATTTAAATAGTTTGTATATATAAACCCCCTGAATTGCGGCGGGCGAGCAGCTGATCGCATTGTTGTCACAAAAGTTGATATTTTGAATTTACGAATTAAAATTTTCAGTGTTTATTAAAAAAAAAATTAGCGGTATGGCGAGTCTGCTAGATCTGTGCGAGCAATATTTCGGCGCCCGTAACTTTTACGATGTGTTAAAAATACCGAAGACTGCAAATGACAAGCAAGGTGACATCAAAGCGTTCTAACCTCTCTGCAAATTTTCATTTTTGAATTTTTTTTATAATAATAATAATGTTCGTTATATTTATGCTACCAGTTAAAAAGGCTTATCACAAGCTATCGTTGCTTGTACATCCGGATAGAGTCGAGGAGAATATTAAGGCGGAAGCGACAGAGAAATTTAAGGTTCTCGGTAGGATACATTCCATCCTCAGTGACAGCGAAAAGCGCAAGATTTACGATGAATCCGGCCAGTATGATGAAGAAAGCGAGGAGGTCGTGATGCGCAATTGGGCAGATTATTGGCGGTCCTTATTTAAAGCAATTACTGTTGAAGATATCAATAATTATGAGAAAAATTACAAGGGATCAGAGACAGAAATCAAGGATCTCAAAAGAGCATACATAGACAGTAAGATTTTTATACTGTGTACAGATAATCTCGGACATATCAATTTTTTTCTTATTTTTTAATAATTTAAGAAATTTGTTTAACAAAGATAATTAATATGTTTCTATAAAGAAAAAAATGTAATTCAATCTTTAAAGTAAAGAGTCTGCTTTAAAAATCTTTTTTCTCTCTTGTGAATAAGGTTTATTATAATTTACTGTATTCCTTGCTTTAAAATATAACATTTTAAAATCTTTATAGTTGCTTTGCATGTAAAGATTAAAATTAGAGATCAAACAAAGAAAGTATTCTTTGTTATTATTTATATTATATATATCACTGTAATTTTATATTAACGTATAGTTTGTTTTATACTCATTTGTACTTATTTATATTTTTTTTTTTTTTTAGGTAAAGGAGATATGGATTATATTTTAGAAGCTGTTCCTTTTACAAACTGTGATGAAGAACCCAGACTTCATTCCATAATTCAAGATCTAATAGAGAGAGGTGAAGTTCCAGAATATACAACTTTTACTAATGAGAATAAAAGGAAGCAGCAGCGCAGAAGAAGAAAGGTAAGACATTTATAAATGTTTTTGATTTGTATTAATATTATGTTAAGAGATTAAAGAGTAAATTATAACAAAAATGACAGGTAATATGAGCCACTGGTTATTGTTAGCGAATATATTTTTTAATATTTCAACTTATGCACTTTGATATTATACGTTTTGATTACTGTTTTGAGCAGGGAATGGAAAGTTACTTTTTAAAAGTAACTAGTTACAGTTACTCGTTACCAAGTAAAAAATGTAACTAGTTACAGTTACAGTTATCGCTTTTTAAAAGTAACTCGTTACAGTTACCGTTACTTGAAAAATAACTTTTCGTTACTTTTCCGTTACTTTTTTAAAATCAATTTAAAAATGTACTTTTGCATTTTTTTTTTTATATGTAATACTGACAAATATATATAGTTTTATTTAAAAAAAAAAAAAACAATGTAGAATGGCTCAAATAATAAATTAAATAAAAGTAAAATGAGAAGGGTTACGAGCCAAAAATGAAACAGTTTATTTCCGATAAGAACGACGATGACAATGTAATTAAATGTATAAATATATATTAGAACAACAACATGGATAAAACAAGATAAAAACAAACGATGTTTCCACATTTATTGTCATCGTCTTTTAAACTGTTTCGCTTTTGGGTTCGTAGCCCTTCTCATTTTACTATTATTTAATTTATTTTTTAATTTTTTTTAAACACAATTTTGTAATTCTAAAACCTATAAAATATGCAGCAAAAACTGAAATATTTGTATGTCCTATGTATTACATAGAAGATAGAAGTGTAAAATAATTACTGAATCATAACGGCCGAATGTCTAAGAGCTTTCAAGTCTTATTGATAAGCGCTGTAAATAGCATGTATCCAATCGAACCGTGTTCAATCGTATGCAAAGTAACGACAAAAGTAACTGTAAATTTCGTTACCGTTACCCAAAAAATGTAACTCGTTACCGTTACAGTTACCAAAAAAAGAAAGTAACGCAGTTACCAGTAAAGTTACCAAAAAAGTAACTTGTAACTGTAACTTCGTTACAAGTAACGAGTTACTTCCATTCCCTGGTTTTGAGTCATCTTCAGCAACATTTTCAAGTAAGAAAGACAATAAAAATTTACGACTAGAACATCCATAAAATTATTCCACCGATAGCAACAGCAACAATTGTGAGGTAAGCCACATACTCAGACTAGTTAGTTAGCTAGTGATGATGAAAACTCAATAATTCCTGCGCCTTAACAATAAACAAGATTGTCACAAACATTGTTCTGTCAAGTGATTATGAGTTAACTGATAAAATTAACGAGATAAGAGCAAAATTAAAATGTGGACCTGTGCTCTTGATAGTCAGTTACATCTAATGTATTTATATCTGATGATAACATTGTGGCTTACCTTACAATTGTTGCTGTCATTATCGGTGGAATGATTTTATGGATATTTCAGTTGTAAATTTTTATTGTCTTTCTTACTTGAAAATGTTGCTGAAGATGATCAAAATAGGAGTCGAAACGTACGATCAAGATACATAAGTTGAAATATTAAAAAATATATTCACTAATAATAACCAGCGGTTGACTCATATTACCTGTTATTTTTGTTATAATCTACTCTTTAATTTATTATAACTTGATGAGTCGCTTTCCAAACTTAATAGTTTTGTGATAGTTTATATTTTTATGTTAAGAAAGCTATAAAAAACTTGAAATTGCAATAGAACATAAAAGATTAATTAAAATTAATTAGAATTAACAAGGAAACTTGTATGAAGTGTCTTATTTTGATTTTAATATATTATGACTGTTTTGTAAACAATAATAAGTTAAAAATGTACTTTTTTATAAGGGCTCTCTCTCTCTCAACTTTTAGAATGTGTAAGTTTGAGAGAAGAAAGAAAATCGTTTATTATTTTTCAAAGCGAATATCATTGAAACTGTAAGAGATAGAAACAAATATTTCAAATAAAAGTTAAATGGTTTTAAGAATAATTATTACTAAAGCTAAAAAAAATTTTATAATTTTTATTTTATATTAATAATGTTTTATTTAAACCAATTTAAATATTATTATAAAATATTTGTGAAACAATTTAATTTTTTTTACTCAGAACATTTTTTTCTTTTTCTTATAGTTCAACAATATTCGCTCCGAAAGAAAAAATTTATTTTCTTTAAAAGGATGTTGTATCCTGTATCTTCTAAATATCAATTCCTTAGTCTTATCTATTAATAAAACAACGTTAAAACTCAAAATTGGAGAGGCACTTCCATAGTTTCTTTATAGGTAAACATCAGTATGTTTGTACAATTAATAGTTATTTTATTTTCAAAATTTTGTTTATAAGTTTTGACGCATCAAAGAGTTGTAAATATGTTTCTGATATTGACAAAATTATTTTCACAAATTTTACTATTTAATATCAAAATTTATAGTTTACTTTTTTAATTTAATTATTGCGATATTTACATATTTCCATTCTCAGTAGTTTCTCATACGTAATATCGTATATAATAATAATTATTATTAATTGATCATGTATTTATATTACATTTCTATTTAACTTAGGAATTTTCTAAAATGTTAAAACAAGTTAATTTTTGAAACAATTCAATTAATATAAAAAAACATGATCACGAAATATTATTTCGTTATCTGTTGCGATTTTTGCCGCGCCTCTATACTACTCGTGTATCGATCTTCGACCGTGATCGACCTCGTGCAATTATAGCGCGAATTTTAAATCACGTTAGCACATTCATGCTAAATGTCACTTCAATAGTCTTTTAACGCCCCGCAGCTCTATTTTCAAGCTTCTCTATTTTTACCGATTGACTGTACAGCTTGACGAGTGGAAGGTAGTAGGAGAAATAGAAGCACCACTAGGAGGGGAAGGTCTAGTAAATAAGTAACCTACGAATGCGAGAACTGCTTCAGTCCGCGTTACAATTAGTTCGACCGTTTGTCGTTAATCGTAAAGTTCAAACGAACAATCCCTCTCGCGACGGTTGTCACATTTTATTCTGTCTGCTTGTCGAAATGAATGCAATAGAGGGCTGTTTTTCCTCCGACGATTATTGTTACCATTAATTGCGAATTATATTATTTTGCCTTATAATCCCTTTATATATCAATGAAAAAAATGCATCATATTATAACTGTAGTGTTATTTGCCTTGCTAACTGTATTTATTGACAATGCCGCGGCATCGTGTAGAAAGGTGACAAATGAAGATATGTTGGAATATGTCTGCGAAGGTGGTCACCCCGTTGATTTGACCACTGTACCCGAAACAACCGAGAAATTGCGGATCATCAGGATGCCACTTCGCAGAATAACTGCTGATACGTTCTCGAGATTCGGCGGGAATCTTTGGGTATTGAGTTGCTCGCATTGCGAGATTACCGATATCGATGCAGACGCCTTTCGACGTCTCATTAATCTCCAGCAACTCAGCTTAGACAGCAACCGCTTAACTACCGTCAGAGCGTCGTGGTTCGAAGGATTAAACTCTCTGACGTATCTCGATCTCAACTACAATGACATACGTGACATTGAAGACGGCGTCTATACGAATCTACCCAGTCTCGTGGACCTAAGGATCTCAGGAAATCGATTGCAATGTTTGAATCTCGACGAGATGTCATACTTGAAGGAACTGAAGCGCATATTCCTCAGCGAGAATTCCGACTTTGCCTGCCCACATGCTGTCAGCAAGTTTCTTGAGAATCAGGGTGTTGCTTTTGAACAAGATCCCGAGTGGAGAAGACTCACTAGTGACACAATCGACGTTCATGTCCCACCGATTCACGTGGAAGAAGATACAGAAATCGTGCCAGCGCATCGCGAAAGATTACATCCCGGTAGGAAACCGCCTCCAGAAGAATCGGAAGAATCTTACGGGATGAGAGACAAGACACCATTTTATCCACACCATTCGGAGACATACCGTTCACGCAACAGGAGACCATTAACCACGACTATACGAACGACGTCGAAGCAACAAGAGGAACAGTCTTTGCCGCAAGTGGAATCGAGATTTCCAGACACAAGACCCTCGCATATACCATCGGAATTATCATCGCATCAGGTAATGTCTTACCCATTTTCAACACCAGAAACGCCGCGAGCACCGCCCGCCGAAGACATCAAGATGGCAGGAACTGACGGACCATCGCGAACGGAACACACCTTTATGTATCCACCACAGCCTACACACGAAACGACATCTTATTGGCCATATCCAACGCAGGAAACATCGCGAGAATCACCCGTAACGTTATCGGATGTATATACCAGGATAATGGGAACTGATAGACCACGGCAAATGGAAGGCATATCAACACACCCGTCGTACATTCCACCGCATGAAACGATGCCTTATCCATCGTATCCCACGTCAGAGAGATCCCAAGTAGGATCTTCATTGGACAACACGATAGGACAATCCGGCAGATCATCGCAAGCTGGAAACACTGTAACGTATCCTCTACATGTTACAACATCCAACGGTCTGGAAAATGTGCCGCACGGATCCATTCAAATGACCGGTCTTTTGGACATGGATGATATTTGGTACACAGATAACTCGGATGAGCTTCCGCCCGAATTTGACGAACAATTTCACCGTCCTACTGAGGGGAGTGACAGAGTGACGTCAACGAAAACACCATATTACGGACACGATCCACGTAAAATGATAGTCGAAGAACCACCATTGACTGATGACGACCTGTTTGTCGCCACGGATCAACCTATTGAATACGATCGATTGCGAACTACGACGGCATCTAACACGCATTATGTCAGACCTTCACCACCGGAACTGATAGACTCTGCGACGGACGAGTTATACCATGTTTCGTACGGTGGTGATCCGTCCATCATCACGCGTCCACCGTTGCAAAATTATCAGGATAATAACGGCGCGTCTATAGGCGTTCGTCCTATAGATACGACGGACAAGTCACTTCCCGAATGTCCGGAGAATTCGGCACCGGAGATGGAATCAGCTGCTGCACTAGTGACGTTTGTTGTTGTCGCTGTTCTTGGGCACACCGTCGTGGGAAGATTTTAGAGCGCGCCTTCTTCTTTATCGTCCAGATGAGCGAGATAGATCGCACAGATAATTTAAAATTAGATTACGCAGAAGAAAATCGAACTTACATCTCTCTTATCTAAGGAACGCATGCACTGTGTTGTGACCTGGACTTTTAAGCGCGCATTTATGTATTTAACATTGTAACTTGTCTCCTCATAGCATTTCCCCAAAGACGCTTCATAGAATTGTTAACCAGATTCAGATAACTAGCAAGAGAGTGATCAAGATGGATGAAACTTTCTTCGGAATTGAAAATTTCTCCGGAAATGACAAAACCAGCTAAACCTGATGCGTAGGTATCGACGTTGGAAAATGCGGAAAAATAACGAAAAATTGATTGACACTTAATTTATTTTATTGTCAATTTCAGGGTGCCGATTATGTAACTTGTTTCTTTGTGTGGGAAAGTAAAAAGTGAAAATTTTTATGTTACATGCAATTTATATTATATTACAAATTTTATGTTTGTAAGTATTGTACATACATACATACTCTCTCAAATTTTTACAGTAAAATGCTATTTTAAACTGTGAAATCTCATTTTTAAAGAATGAAAATTGAATTACCTTATCAAAATTATCTTAATTTTTCCCCTTCAGATTCCACTCCAATAAATTTAGAGAATATCATACATAAAATTTTTCACTTTTCACGTTTCCTCTTTTCTTTTTCTACATTTTATTTCCGTGCTTTAGTATTCTACAGAAGGAAATACGAGTTTTGATTCTGTAATTTTACCGATTGGCAAGAATTTGTTAAACATTGATTAAATATCTCCGAGAAAATCGAAAAGGTGTTGTGAAGTTTATCACTAATACTAAACTTAGCCGAGTTAGCGAATCTTTGATCTCACGTGGTTCCTCTCTCTCTCTCTCTCTCGATTCCCGGAATCGCTTGTGGCATGGTAACATATGTTGTAACATCATGAAACGCTTGCCAAGTAGAAAAGCCAATTGAGCAGAGTATATGCGTGTCCGAGAAACGATTTTAATTGCAATTAAGTGGCGACTCGGTCGTCGCGTGGTAATGAAATAATTATCAAGTGTCATCGTCCAATCGCGCAGTTATACGTTATGTAACGACCTTGCAACGATTCGTTCGGTGTTGCGCCTCACAAACGCATTAAATATATGCTCAAAGGCGTCACTGTTAGGAGTCAAGTTCGCACGGCAACTTCCGTCATTCTTCGTGCAACAGGTGCATCTTCGTTCAGAATCCGCCTAGGTCGGTCGCGCCAAACGGAGGACAGAACGAGAGAATGAGAGAGAAAGCAGGTTCTCTCGCGTAGAAATCATTTAGTGGCCTTGGATAAAGCGCTAATAAAGCGTTCCGTTATAACGAGAAGCGGCGTTATCTCCATAAGATGATCTCCATCGTCGAATAGATGCGTAGCGTTTCCGCGTACATGTTTACCAAGAGCTTCCTCGTGATCCGTGAGCGAACTTGAAGCTCGCGCAACCAATTCTGCTTAAGATTCCATACCAATGACACGATCGTAGTAAATATGACTTCGCGCCATTCGTGCTTCGATGGTTGTCAATTATTTAACGCGATTTCTTTAGGTCAAGACGTGGCGCGATATTCCGATCAATATAGACCTCGGACCATGCTGCAAGGTCGCGGATAAAAGCTTCCACCTTCGACTTGGACAGATACTTGTACGTGTTGACGGCCTCGTAGGTACTTGGCACGGCCTGAGAGAAATCTGTCTCATAATATTGTTTTGCGCAAAGCAATGCTTTCCTCATCCGCATGTTCGAGCGATAGTTTAGCTAACTCCAGATTAATTATTGTTTGAGATTAACGATTATTTCTAGAATTTGATAAACGACCATAAAATAGAAATATATAATTTGTCTAAGGCCTGATTGCACCAACGTGATTTCGATTTTACGCGAAACTTAAATTGTTTCTATCTCTGTCTCCCTTTCGGCTTTAAAACGAGATAGATAGAGTTTTAAGTCTCGCTTAAAATCAAGAAGTGTTGGTACAATTAGGCCTAAGATGTATTTACGCATCTTATTTTGATAAAGACTGCAGATGATCGAGTTCTCATAAGAGAGATGTTTCGTATGGTAGACGACTTACTTATTGAGCAAATTTTTAATAAAACAATTACATTTTTTAATTAAAAAATAAGAAGGTTTTTGAATGAAAACTCACAATCAGTGCTGTTCGACAAAGAAGTTTTAGAGTCTCGGCTTGTTACAATATTATTGATAAAGAAACGTGATGCGTGGTCCACATAGGGTAGGAGAGTCATAAGTGGGGTCTAAGTCGTAGGAAATTGACCAATTACATTCGAATACGAGAAAAATAATCGTCTATGATTGGCCAATTTTCTACGATCTTATAATCCTACGATCTTATAATCCTACGATCTTATAATCCTACGATCTTATAATCCTACGATCTTATAATCCTACGATCTTCTATATAATTTCTATTGTAGATTTCGTGTAAGATCTCTTTCATTTTTAACCACTGACGAATCCGCGATTTAGTAGTCAGAATCTTGCATGGCGTTGTGCAATGCACCAGCTTTAGGTAGCCAGTTGGACGTACTTGCCAGAAATTATAAATAACGGAATTTCTTCAGCAGTGAATTATGGAGTAGGTCACGCGCGATATGAAGCGTCATCGACGCTTCTGTATCTCGCAGGTAGTTTGATGCTGTCCAAAAGAGAACCCAAACGCGAAAACTTTGAAAAATATGAACGTCGTAAATTGGATTCGCGATGCTGCATTCTGGAGGTGTGTTTGGGGAGATGCTATTCGTGTCATTCTATCGTTGTTTTACGTCTAATAAACAAGATAGAGTGACATAAATAGCCTTAATAGCGTCTCCCCGAACGCATCCTAGGATTCATGGTATCACGGTTTGAGTATGTTCAATGTCATAGACCGCGTATGCCGGTGCGTACTGCGTCTTCGCTTAGCGATCCAAGAATCGTGCTTATAAGTGACGCATATCCCGCCGCTTCGACCATCGATAAAATCGATGACCCCCTTGAAATTCAACTGCGCCGTTCCCTAGAAAAAGAGAACCCCGCTTCACGCCGCTCTGAATGCGAAGTCGCGTGCGTCTAATACTCTCGAGGATCGGCAGCGCGTGGCGCGATTCGGAAATAGAAATACGTAACGCGTAGAGTCCCTCGCTCTTGTAACGAGTGGGTTGTAATCAATCTTGTTAACAGGGAACGCGCTTGTGTTCTCTCACGAGTAGCCGCTATCTGCTTTAAAAAATCTATTCCCTTCCGCGGCGAGTCTGGATCGAATTAGCAATGTAGACTAAACGCGCTGATTAAACCGCTCTCTAGTCGGACAGTAAACAGTCATCGACTTTTCATGTTAATTGGCCTGATCGGCTTTTTTAATTGCAGTGGGCCAAGGAAGCGGCGGAAGCTGAACGCCTGGAGAAGATGTTGAAGATCGAGAACGAAGAAAACGCAAGCGACCTCGCGCTGGTGATACAAAATCGTAATAAAGCTCGCGCCAATCAGTCGGAAAGTTTCTTTGATTCCCTGATCGATAAATATGTGAAGGCCGAAAAACCGAGTAAAAGCAAAGCTTCGCCCTCAATGACTACGAAGAAAATTAAGAAGAAGACTTAGAGATCGACAATGCCGGAACTGCTACGTGTCCACTCCACGTTTTTGAAAGTTTCAACCTCTTGTTAACATTAAATTGTAAAACACGAACTTGTTGTAGATTTCTATAATGTGGATGTGGTTGTGTTTAATTTTTGTATAAGTTCAAAACATTCATCGAATCAAATGAACTAACTCGTATGGTTTATATAAATTTGTCGTCAATTAATCGCGCGTAACGTAAATTAAATCGTTGTATCGAATTCAACATTTGTTCATGACAAATGTGTACAACGGTGTAGAAATATCGTACACTTTATATAACATTAAATATTGTACTTGAATTTTATGATATAATTATATAATATTCTCGAAACTAAGGTCCCTGTAATTATTTTCCGTCTATATGAAACAGAAATAAAGAAGCTTTTTAATATCACCTCTTATAGTTTCTTTAAAAGTCTATTTCAGCCATGGACTAGAGATCGAAGATAAACTGCGAGGTAAGTAGGTATATTCAGTGTTTAGCAGTACAGCTGTATAGATCCACTGAATTAAATATAGAAACGTTGCCATAATTTAATTGAGTGATGATTCTCACAGTTAGTTTAGATACACTTGCAAACGACTCTTTTCTCACTATATAATATTAGCTACACTTCTATAATGTTAGTTATTCTTCCTAACCATTTATTTCTTCTACATCTTGCAATATGAATAAAATGATTTGTTTCTATTTACAAAAGAAAGTGTTACTACTGATTTAAAAAATAATTTGATGAATAATAGGAATATTATAAGGTATATCTTACGTAACTTTTCAAGATATGTTAATTCTTTCTGAGAAAAAGAAAGAGAAAAGACAGAATCAATTTTACAAAAAATCTTACACGAAAAGTTTTCCGATATCCACATAATGTCTTTATAGAAAATATATTAAAAGATATGATAGATAATTAAGTTTATTGGCCCGTAACATATATACATATATACAGCTATTTTTTTGTTACTAAAATCATTTTTTTATATTGGAAAGTTCTAAATCAAAAAGCTTATTTCTTATATGAATGAACGTACAAAATTTCAACCTTGACAATCTTAAATTTTGGAAAGGCATTTTCTTATTAATAGAATGTGTTTGATCTAAGCTTTGGTAGTCTAGACGATTATTCAGTGGACCATATGCTGGCGCTATGCCATGTTTGCAAGCTCAGAAACAGTGCTTACAAACAACGTATATTCGTCTTCCGGGTGAAATTTCCGGTGGCTTTTTAAAATTTACTTTATTTGCTACGTTTCAAAAATATGTTTATGTTATTTTGGTATATATATATATAAATGATATACATATTTCATACTAGGTGAAGTTTGATAATAATCTTGATAATGTCGAGCACGAAATATCGTAAAAATAAGTTATATAATTTTTAATTTTATCCAGAAATTATGCGAAAACACTATATATATACAATATCCATTCTTATTGGACCGCTAAATTTCAAACCGAATGAGACAATGCTACAGTGGTTTAAGCTGAATCACAGATGCTTCTAAATAATTATGTGTGAATTTATATACTACGAATGTAATTCTTACAAAAAAGTAATCTCTGTATATAATTTTATTTTAAATATAAAATTCTCTAAAAAAATTAATTATTTACAGTTTTTGATAGATTATTCAACATTAGTAAGATCGATACAAGATGCGTAAACAGCATTGATAAGTGTTAAATTGTTAGTCAATTTAACTCGTGATATTACTGCGGTAGTTTAGTAGTGTTGTGTTTCGAGTCTGAAAAAATTTCGACATGCAATCGAAAAATTACATTCGTAGTATATAAATTTAACAATTATTTAGAAGCATCGGTGATTCAGCTTAGACCACTGTGACATTGTCTCATACTGTATATATACTTACTAAAAAATCTTTAAAAAAAAAAGAAAATATTCTTCAAGTGCATAAAGAAGGTTTCGAATAATTATGTCCTACTTAATAAAAAATAGATACGAATTAAATGCAATTAGTCAATTATTTCGTAATGCAAGACACATAAGATAATTGAAAATCGTTAAAATATCAACTGAATTATAATGAAAAAAAAACTGAGCGTGCCTGGATAGCATTAATAAAAATGTACTTTTGTGAATATGTTGTCTTCAAAACAATACTTTTACTATAAATTAAATTATAAAAATAATAGACATATGTATATAAATATAACATATATCTATGTACACAGTAACATAGTTTGTGGGACATGAAAATGTACTCACAAATCATAGACGTATTAAATTATGAAATAATTATATGTAATTATTTTTATATTTTAATTTATAATGCAAATGTTATGTTAAGATAATATCACTGGAATACACGCAATTAATGCTATTCGGATACGCCAAGTTTTTTTTCACTATAATCCAGTTGACAATTTTTAATCATACTTTAATTAAAGAAATTTAATCAATTTCAATTTCTCTTGTAATTTATTTTATATATCTTGCGTTATGAAATATTTGAGTAATTGCATTTATTTTTTATTCATTTTTTATTAAGAGGATTTATAATATTCAAAACCTTTTTTATGCATCTGGTGTATACTTTTTTCGTTATTAAAGAGATTTTTTAAGGAAATTATTATACATATATACATATTTAAAATAAAATTATATATACATAGATTATTATATATTCTACTATATCGATATTGCCAACAAAAGACCATGTAGATTGCTACGATATCCAAAAGATTGCGCTAGAAGTATTTTCTCGCCTTAATATTTACGATTTAACTTAATTATCACTGTTCGAAGTCGTGATATATCTTATTCTGATTTCAATTAATTATGACTCAAGGTTGGCAACGTTACCTCATAAATAAAAAATAACTCATTACCGTTGTCGTTCTTTTTCCTAAAAAATAACTCGTTTCCGTTACTCGTTATTGGTTTGCAAAAGTAACTCGTTACCATTATCGTTACCTACTCAAAATATAACGAATCGTTACTTCTTCGTTACTTCTTTCTTGACACTAATATAATATCATGTGCAGATTTTTTGGATAAATGTATTAAAAACCCCTTCTCTCCTCTCCCTTCCCCCTCTCCCTCACCCTTCCCCTCTCCCACCACCCACCCTCACCATCCCTCTCTTTCGACGTATTTCACTCTCTTTTGATCGTTATATAATATTTTTAAATAATTTTTTTTATATATTTGTGATATATCTGTACTCCAAAAAATAAGTGATATCCTAAAAAAATCATATCATAAAAATGAAAAAGTCAAGTCATGTTCAAAAAAAGATCCTCAAAAATTTAGACCTTTTTACCTAATAATAATAATATATGAAAAGTAACTGATATATTATTATATATATTCATTAGGGTATATTTATTAGAGTAGAATCTCACGTGATCTCGCTGGTCTCATCATTGCAGTCTATATGCTACATGTTAGCTTATGGTGCGTTCCGTTTCATGCATAACGCGTATGACACATTACGTTTTATTCTTGCTGTTCACCGAATATTAAAGAAAGATAAAATGATACATCATGCGCATAATGCGTGAAACGGAACGCAGCTTATAAGAATGAATTGTGAATACAATGTGAAAAAAGACATCGTGTTAAAGGCTGAAATCAAACAGTGCGGAATAGGACTGTAGAATAAAAGTGCGTCATTGAAGCAACCAATCAGCGCTACAAAGTAAAATAATAAAAGTAACTAATGAAATTGTTACCATTACTCCAAAAGTGTAACTGCGTTACCATGAACGTTACTTCGAAAAAATATAACGCCATTACCTATTCGTTACCGAAAAAAGTAACTTGTAACAGTAACGACGTTACAAATAACACGGTACTTTTCAATCTTGATTATGACTAAGTTTTGTAGGCAATAAGTTAAAAACGTATTTCTTTTTATAAGAACCAAACTTTTAGGAAGCAAACTCTGAGAGAGAGAAGAACATAGGTAATAATTTTTAGCAGGTATTATTGAAACTATTTAATAGAGATAGAAAAAATGTTTCAAATAAAAGATGAATTGTTATAAGAATATTAATAATTATTATTTGAACTAAAAAAATGTTTTAACTCTTTTATTTTTTATAAATAATAATGTTTCATTTAAACAAATTTATTATTATTATTATAAAATATTTTTGAAACTATTTAATTTTTATTTAGAATATCTTTCCTATTTCTTATAGTTTGATAACATTCGCTCCAAAAGAAAAATTTTCTTTAAAAGGATGTTGTATCTCCTAAATACACTCAACAGCAAAATTAAAACATCACCCATCTTGCCCCCTAAAAATAGATAAAGGAAGCGTAAATAATTGTCAAAAATAATCATAAAATAAACTCTTATTTGGACCGCGAAATTTCAAAATTTTTTATATTTTAGTTATAGTTATGCACCCTCCAAAAATGGATTTTGGTGGCTCGGAATAAGAGACTTGTAGTGTCTTTCAGTTTTTGAACATGGTCGGAGACACTACCGCGTCTCCTGATATGATTCTTGAAATATAGAGTATATAAAAAGTTTTCGAAACATTTCACAGCCAAATACTGAATTTTTCAAAATATTCCTCTCACATTCGTAGCTTTATTTATTCGATCACAAAAGTTATCGTATGAATTTTTAATTTGTCAACTTTTACTGGTACTACAATTTTGTTTATTAGTTAAGGAAGTTTTTAAGAAAGTTTTAGCTCTTTAAATATTATGATTATAAAGTAGTAACGATTTATATGTCGATACGATTACGTAGCGCGCTGCGCGCAACGCGAAGTTCGAGCCGTTCGCTTTAGCGAAACGAAGCACGTTTATATTCACTAATGAATT